TCTCTTGATCAATTCACAGTCTTCCATTGTCTCCAAAACATTTCGTCTCTCAGCCATTTTCAGATTCTTTGTGAATAGGTCTTACTGAGTTAGGAGTCCTCTCGAGGACTTTTAAGCTCTCCCAGACTTAGGTGCTACTTTTAGGCTTAAAATACTTTGTGAATTGCTCTTAGTGAATAAAATTAGGAGTCCTAAATTTAAGACTGACACGCCCATTATGCTTAGGAGTTTCTCCTAAATTCGCCAGTTAGGAGCTACTTTTAGCCCTAAAATCCTTTGTGAATACGGCCCCAGGTCTCTACTCTCACAGTCAAATAAAAACTGTCTGTGTATGTCAGTGGAGGTAATTATCGTAATAAGACGTAAAGGACTGTAAATGTTAGTATTTTAAAGCTCACCTTTTATGCTATATTGGAACAATATATTATAGGGCCATATCTATACAAAACATGTCTCTGAATTATTTTGCTCAAAATACCAAACAGATCACCCATTGTAGCATGCCTCATACCCCTCTATTTCAGCCCTGTTACTAAAGTGCTGATTCTGGGTCTGGCCCTATAAATGTAACCGAGCTGCTGCTGGCCACGCCCCTCTGGAGCTACTGCTGGCCACGCCCCTCTGGAGCTACTGCTGGCCACGCCCCTTTGGAGCGTCCGTCCGCATGCAAGCAGTGAGCTCTGTGGAGAGAAGGCTGTCTACCAGCAGAAACTCATCTAAACGCTGCCGTGATTAAACGACATATTATGTTTCAAACCACATCAAGCATTATTTCTGAAACAGTATGGAGCTCAAACGCTTTCTCTCTTGCGGGTTTACCACAAGGACAGTACCTTTTTATATCCTGCTTCTTTACACATATTCTGTCCAGTACAGCATTAGCTCTGAGTGTTAGCGATGCTTGCTAATGTAAACACAGACCATATTACTTCCAAAACATGTCACACATTGTTTCTGATACAGCACATAGCTTGACATGTTCAGTGTTTACTGATAGAGTAAAGTTGTTATATATATATACAGTATATATATATAATACATGTAACTGTTCTAAGTCTCTCCTGTATACATTCTGCTGAATACACAGACACACAGCTGAGGGAGGGGATTCAGCTAGCGACTGTATATGGGGACGATAGGTTGGGAAGTGGGCGGGACGTTGCCAGGAGTTCAATGTAAAGCCAGCCCACATTTTATTTGCAAATCTGGATCAGCTACGTTGTACCCCCGTTTTTAGAGATGTGGGTAAGGAGGAAAAGAGAGAGGGTTGTATTTTCAGACACTTTGTGAGCCTCCTTACACACCCGGGACACATACTTATGTATAAAAGAAATAAAAAAGTGCATTTTGCATAATAGGTGACCTTAGAAACTAGCTAAAAGTCACCACAAGGCATACAACACACCGTGATTTTTATTATCTAAATCACATAATTTAGTAGATAATAAATGATTGTATACATGAAGTTTCGTCTTTCTCTATTGCAGGGCTCTATGTGCTGCAGCGCATTGGTTCCACTCAGGAAGGAAACGCCAGCTTCACTTTGTCAGGAGACTACTTCAACAGAGAATTGTCAGGTAATAACATTTACTTTGCGTTCCTTTTTTTTGTTTCATGATATGTTTAACACATCTTACTCTTAAAACACACTTCTTCTCCCTGGCCTTTTAGTCAGAGCGGAGCACGACTCCTGACTTTTCCCTGTGTTTTTTATATATCTGTTGTAATTTATTGTCTTTTATTGTGATTGTAGTAATGTGTTTTTATGTGATTGTAGTATTTATTACATGTATAGCACTTTGGCCCGACCAAAAATCGCTTTTAAATGTGCTTTATAAATAAACTTTGATTTGATTTATAGAGCTCATCTCCTCGTATGTTCAATTATGTCGAACCACATTTTTTTAGCGTTGACATCCATTTCAATGGCAGTGTATTAAAGTGAGGGATTAAACCAGGTAACAGTATTGTGACATGTATGAGCAATAAGCAAACGCATTGGATTCATAGATTGGAAATGTTAGAAGTGAATTAGAGAGCATATCTCAGTTCAAAGCTGAATGGTGGTAAACATAAGGTCCACTGATCTCTTTGGAATTCACTGTTAAATCGAATAAACACAACGTTTATATACATTTACTGCTTTATTGAGCTCGCACATAATTGACCGACATCCTCCGCAACTTCCACAGACTCCACCATACTGCACATGCGCCACACAGGTCAAAGGGGAAACTCCTTCCCACAAAGCACATTGTACAGGGGATGAACATGTTAACATTCAGCATGGAGTAGATTAGTAATTTGTGTGTGTGTGTTTTCATTCATTCATGTGTGTCAGGCTGGGAGCCCTTCATCGAGCCCTGGCCCTGCTTCCTCTCCTGGCAGCAGCAGGCAGCTGGCCGTATCCACCCTCCACGTTTTAAGATGGGAATTCGAGCCAAGCAGAGACTGGACGTCAACATCACTTCTGTCCTGTTGGGTGAGTAAAAGCTGAAACATGGTTCTGTACACCTTGCACAGCTGGCTCACAGCTGGCTGCACGACTGAAAACCGTGTTTTGGGGTTCTGATGATTACGATTGTTTTGTCTTTTCAGAACAATATAACACCACCAAAAGCTCATGGATAGCTGACTACTGTAAGGAGGAGGAACAGACCCCCCAGTCTTCACCCCCCCAGCCCTGGATGGGCTCCTCAGTCGACCCACCTAGCTTTGTACAGAGTGAGTACTAGCTACACACTGTAGAGCCAAGAAATCACTGCAAATTAAAGAAGCCGATTTCATTGATGGCTATTTATAAAAAACTGTCTCTTTATAGATATATTATTTATGAAGAGACGGTAACAGGGTAGCAAAGTGGCCTGTGTGTGTATCAAAGCCTAATGTGTGTTCTACTGCTGTGCCATAGAGCTTTAATATTGTTAAAGTACATCAGTAAGCCCCCTGGTGACTGGGGTGTTGAAATTAATCGTTTCTACGATGCATCGCGATGCAGACGTGGATGATTATGCACCAATGCAGTGACCGAACATAATCGATTATAGCGTAGCAACCTTGCTTCCTGATTTTCCGGCCGCGGCTTTACAATAACGTATTTTTTTCTGTCACTTGAATATCATATCGGTCGGTGACGCAGAGATCAGGGAACAGACGTGAAAGCGGCACAGCGACTCCAAACACGGAGCAGTCTGCTTTATCAACCAACACCAGCAACACCAGTCCAGAACCAACAGCAGAAGGACCCGCTCTGAATCAGTCCGTGTAGCTACGGCTCAGACACATAGGGATTTCTGTTTTTAAAAAATACTTGCATTACAATCATGTCAGGTTTTTGGTGGATTTAATTAAGTCTTGGATTGCAGAGTATGTTCCTCCAAACCCCGCCCCCTCCCTGAAAATAATGAGTGACAGGCTGATAGTAACCTGATAGAAACTTTATTATTCACTTAATCACTGATTGAGATATGATGAAGCTAACTTAATCTCATACATGCATGGGATTGATGTAACAGTAAGAAAGAGAATGGAAGTTTGCACCCACATGCACTATTTTTGTTTTTATAATGCTGTTGTAAATGCTCCTGTTGTCTGCTGTGTTCAGACTCAAGTCATGTGTGTGATGCCACATTCAGTGTCCTTTCTTTAACAGAAGACCGTTGCTAGAAGCTGCAGCTAGACTGCAGAAGCATTAGTTTTTAGTTTTTGAGGATGGAACAATTTCACACACAGATAAAGGGAGGCTAGACCAATACAATTGATTTATTTGGTTTATAAATTAATGTCAAGTCATTTATGTTGTTGATTTCTGAAGCACTTTCT